TGGTCCTCCACCATGAGGAATATAGGCCATTTGAACACAGGCTAATGACACGTTGTGGATAGAAAGCATATTGAGACAATAAAAAATAGCCTGACACAGGATGAGCATTACAATGATTTTGAAATAGTTTGCAAAGCTTCCATCTACCTGGTTAGGCTTGCAGTGAGGCTTGGCTTCCAAAGCATATTTGTCCAGATTTTCGCTTTTGGCTTCAACTATAAAACCTTTATACAAACTCTTTGTGCTCAATACGTAGGAGGAACTAGTATTACCTCCTCCTGGTAAAGTGTAAATTTCTACTTTTCATCTAGGTATTTGTGGCTGTGACCACACTTAGTCAAGTTCAAGCTGTGGAAGGTTTAAGCAGCACCGCTGCCTGTGGTCTCTGACACTGGATGCTTCTCCCATTTTTTTCATGCCAGACCCTTTCAATGCTGTTTTGACATCCCTAATTACCTCTTCCCCATTTATATCAGTTTCTCACTCTTGCCCCTACCTGATACTGATCTCGCAAAGCTTTGCAGATTTGAAGAAAATACTGTTTTTGACTCATGTATGTGTACTTGTCCATTTTTACAATCTGTAATTTAAAATTCTCATTATGTTTATACTCAAGTCTAAACTCCCATGAACTACCACAGGAGTTGTGCCTAGCTAGAATGGAAGATCTGGTTCATGCATTTTTCAGCAGTCTATAGTGAATGGAACAGAAAATTAAACTCAAGAAGCTGCCTTTCTCTATGGGCTGTATATATACTGGTAATGGGGTCAGAATCATCAAATGGGTGCTTAAAATTAGGCAAATAAATTAATTGTGCAGCCTATACATTTTAAAATATTGGCCCAAATTTTCAAGTTGTGTCTACTTGAGGCTGCTGTGCTAAATATGTCTGAGAGTTTTGGAAGTACTGTTGCTATCATGAATATATGTCACAGTTGTTGCAGGTCTGTTTGTCATGCAAACTGTTGTTCTCTGAAATACTTAAAGATTTGGCCTTCCCATGGGGTCCCTAACGAGAGAATCAGCTAACCTGGGTGGGGGGAAGCCAGTGGGACCCACGGACCCCTGACTGGAGGGCTATAAAACTCTCCCACACCCTATAAGGCGTTGTCCCAGTAACAGCATTGCTAGGTGTAGCCATGTAGGAGTCTATTCCTCTGACTTCATTTTAATCTTGCCACTACCTTGGGTCTCCTGGTCTGGATTGACTGCTTTGACTATGACGCTGGCTTGACCCCTGGCTTGATGTTCTGGAATCGGGATGGATACTCAGCTTTGATCTTGGTTTTCACTCTGCTAATCCCTGATTTAGTGCAAACCACTAAGACTACACAACAGTCAGCCCCAACAAGACCCACCAAGTTTCAAAATTTGACTTGCACAATCACTAAACCCTTCACAGAGGGAATGCTAAAGCTAAGGATAACACTGGTGTTCTAACCTCATACAGTAGAGTGATGGGAGCAGCAACCTTCACGTGAGCCTATCTGTTCAATGTGCTATTTGCTCCACAAATGAATGCTGCCCAAATGCTATGCTGATGTCTGGATGCCAGTCTGAATAGCAAGGGCAAAACAAATAATCTGTAATTTGCCCATGCTAATGTAACATTTAAACTTTAATTTGAATTAGCCAGTTAATCTGAATAAATTGAAAGTAATAGAATTGTAGAGTGGAATGTTCACATAAATGTTCTGATGCTCCAAGAAATGCATGTTGCTGGAGCAGATTCATCATGCTTTAACATGTCTGAATATATTTTTATAATAGACCAAAGCTATTCAGAATATGGCATTGCCACAATAATATTACTAAATCCATATCACCAGTGGCTGATGATTTCCCAAATACTTGATGGCATCCAAGTTGGTGATTTAGGAATATATTTTGATAAGGCAATAAATCAGCTACAGCCTTCTCCAGTTTTACCATCATCTAATATTCTAATGAACCATATTAGAAATTTTGGTAGATAGTGAGGCTACTCTTTAATAACTAAGTGGCAGCCAACCTGTGTGTGAACATTATTTTTTATTTGGCATTTAATATTTAATTCAAAATTAAATGGGACATTTTATTCTGCCTAGTGGAGAAAAGATTATATGCTGGACTCATGTTTTGTGTCTACAAATGCAAGCATACATCTGCTGCCTTCATCACATGTACCCAACATGAATATATTGCCCAGGAACTGCTTGTTACACATAGTGCACAAATATCCTGAAATCATAGTAGTATCATAGTATCATAGTACTTAGGGTCGGAAGGGACCTAAACAGATCATCAGGTCCGACCCCCTGTCCTGGGCAGGAACAGGCGCCGGGGTCATATCACGCCAGCCAAATATCTGTCCAGCCTCCTCTTGAAGACCCCCAAGGTAGGACAGTGTACCACTTTCCTTGGGAGTCCATTCCAGAGCCTGGCAGCCCTAACCGTAAAGTAATGTCTCCTGATGTCCAGCCTGAACCTTCTCTCTAACAATTTGTGGCCGTTATTCCTAGTAACCCCGGGTGGTGCCTGGGGGAACACAGCCTCCCCCAATTCCCGCTGGTCACCCTTGGTGAGTTTGTAAACCACCACCAGATCCCCTCTCAGCCTTCTCTTGTGGCGGCTGAATAGGTTCAGGTCCTTTAGCCTCTCTACATAGGGCCTACCCTGCTGCCCCTTGACAAATCTTTGGCAAGCTGATTGTCCTGCATTTGCAACAGTTGTTGAGGAAAACATAGGTTATTAATCTGCTACATGTGATCTTTCTGAACATTTTACTAAGCTCGTGAAAAAAAAAATTGCATGGGAAAATATTCCTTGTGCCTTCAGTAGATCTTTTGCTCTCTTCTGGAGTTCAGTGAGATGTATTTAAGATAGTATGAAGCTTCAGGTGTTCCAGATGAAGGATCTGTTCTCTTATAGTCATTGGACACTACTAGATGGTTGCACTGGACTAAGGCTATGGAACATACGAGTTTCATTGTGCAAGTGAAAAAGCATGGAACCTCCCACATCGTCTTTGTGGTACAGCCACAGTAATACACAAACAGCTAAAGTTACTGTGAACCACCAGATTCTCAATGATTTGAAGCCTTAACAAACAGCAGTATAAAGAGTGGTGATTACAGTTCTCTGAGAGTTGCTAAATGAAACAGATACGTGTGCATGGCACTGTTTCAGTAGGCCAATTTTATTCATTGACCGCTAAGCAATCAGAATTTTGCTAATCTTAACCGGGTCAGTTTGCTAAAGAACAGTGCTCCACAATGGTGTCATTTAAAAAAAAAAACTAAACTATATTATTATTACTTAAACATTACCAGTTTGAAAGGATTAATAACCAGTGCTAACTTTGTGTGCAGTCTTAGATGTTCCACGTTAAGATCAGTGCCAACTCTGAACAGTATATACTAGCCCTTAGTGAATTTCTTCCTGTTAATTTTCTATTGAATAGAAAAGTAGTTAAGATGTAGGCACTATGAGCCTATTCCCAGGGCTCCAGTTCCTGGAGTCACCTAATTACATCAGAATCTCAAATTTTGGGGGAGATTGGGGCTGAATAGAATGGCTTCGTTTACAAATTACACTACTGTAATCTATATTATGAATTTAAACCAGCATAGTTAAATTATGCAAACCCCTGTATCAACATTTATTTTGGTATAAAAGTGGCCTTTTCAGCTGAGCAAAAAGTAGCTTGGAAACAGATTAATTTAAAACGAAATATACCAATCTTAACTGAAGTAGGAATGTCCGCACAGTTTTGCAGAAGTTTAAAATGTGACTGAAGTTAAATGAATGTTTCCATTTTTGTAAATCAATGTTTCCATTTTTGTCTTTGTGGTTGAAAAACAAACGTGTGAAGCAGGTGTAGTCAATGCAGGGTTATTTGTCTGAGCGTGCCGAAAACCTAAATGTTGTCACAGAGCGTTAACTCAAAAGCTACTCTATTGGAGAGGCCTCACAAGAGCCTATTCCACAGTCTGGACACCCTGACTGTGAAGAAGATTTTCCTAATGTTGAGCCTGCATCGGTCTTCTAGGAGTTTGTGGCCATTACTCCTGGTTTTCCCCTCGGGTGCCCTGGCGAACAGCTGCTCACCGAGGCCTTGATGTACTTCCCTAGTGTAGCGGTAAGCTGCTACCAGGTCCCCTCTCACCTCTTTTCCTCAGGCTGATGTTCAGTGGCAACATGTAGGGGGTGCACAGGAGTGCACATGCACCCCCTGACCAGCCGCACTCCCCGGTTAGGTGATGGGCAGGTGGGAGTGCCAGTGCCCCACCTTGGGCGCCGGCCAGGGAGCGGGAGTGCTGGATGTAGCGCCGCAGCCGCTTTCCTGTCGGTGAGTTTTGCCGTGGATGGATCCCCCCCAGGCCAGTGAGACTGGTTGTAGTGACCCCCCCAATCACTGACTGGTCGCTGGGGGGGGCGGGGGGGGTACGTGCACCCCTGGACTAAGGTGGCACCAGTTGCCCATGCTGATGTTTTAAGTGTGAAATTGGTGATGTTTCTTTGTTGAGGTGTCAATTCTGGGTACTACTACTAATAAAAACAAAAACAAAAAAAGGAGAGGGAGGAGCTTGGAGGGCAGGGTTTTTTTTTTTAAAAACCACACCCCTTCAACACTTGCAAACCAGTCCCCCCAGTTCCCCTGACGTTATAGGCACCACTCATGTGTGCAAGTTGCAAAACAAAAAACAACGCCCGCCCCAGCCTCGTATGAAGCCGCATCTTGGTGTGAACCACGGGATCAACCGGGCGCGCGCTAGCCCCGCCCTCCAAGCTAGCTCCTCCCCCTCCCCTGA